TTCTCCAGTGGTGTGTGCCCCCGGAATGTCATACTTCACCGTTTTGTCTCTTAACACACATGCCCAAGAAGCTACTTCTCCCTGGGGCCTGCATTCAATGAACACTTTAATGTTAACAAGTGTGGACCATCAGGAGATTGTCTCTCTCTCTCTGGCTAATAGATTAAATATCATTTTTAGAGAGGCAATATCACGGAACCATCACCCAACATTTCTAGTGGGTGATGGGAGAGGCTTCTCCTGCCCAGCTCCTGCCTAACTACCTGTAGCAGCTGCATTTCACTGAGCAGAACTCGGTCACATGGCCACACCTGACCTCTAGTCTGGCTGTGTGCCCAAAAGGAAAAATGAAAGCGCTTCAGAAACAGTTTCTGCTCCTCTAATGACTGGTTGTAAGAGAGAGGTCAGGAAATTAGATCTCAGACAGCATGAAAAAGGTTGTGTTTGAATTGAAAGCAGCATGGGAAGGATAAGGACATGTGTATAACTAGATGAGAACATCTGCAAGAGAGGAAACAGAAAGCACAAAGGCGGGAGCATTCCGGGCCGTTAGCAAACAGGAAGGCCAGTGTTACAGCTGTATGTTCTTATATCTATCTGTACTTAGTTATCCTGACAGTACAAAGGAGGTTTCTGGATCAGATATCAAACCATTTACTCACAGAGAAGACTATTTATTTCCTATTCCTCAATTCCTTATGTGGGGGGCAGCAGGGCTGGGTGAGAACCGGGTATATCTTGTGGGTCCAGGAGGAAAGGGGTTATGGACCACTAGAAAGGAAACCCCAAACCACGAAATTCAATTTTCCTTCTTCTCTCTGGGGAGTGGGGGTTGGAGGGAGAGAGGGAAACAGAGAGAGAGAGAGAGAACAGTAAAGAAACCTTTGCTCTGAAATCTAAACAAATCTTCCCAAAATGAAGGAAAGCATCTGGGCTTGCAACCCTTCGATGTGAAGGAATGTCTCAGGGTGAGATGTCCCTGTATCTCTCCAAGGGTCTCTATCAATCCAAGGGTTGCTACTCAGTCATTCTTTAACTCAGGTGCCAGATCTCTGCTTAGAAAGCCCTGACCATGAAGAAATATGAAACTATTTGAGGAACACAGTGAAAGAGAAGGAAGAGTGGTGAAGGATGAGGTCAGATACAGAGACGAGAGCCAAACAATATAGGGCATTAGGACATAGGCAAAGAGTTTGTAATTTTTTTAGTGCAATGATAATATCTTGGTTGGCTGTATGCAGGAGCATGACATGGTCTGATTCAGCTTTTGTTGGTTGCTGTAGTGGCGGTGAAAGGGATGACTGGGAGTGGGGTGGTATGGGAGAGGGAGGCTCCTGCCACAGTCAGGGTCTGTAGGATGATAGCCCGCCCCCAGAGTGGTGATAGTGGCAAGGGACGAAGCTGAGCAGAGTAGGGCTATATTTTGTAGAAAGACTTGTTGTAGTAGATAAGGGTTGGAGTCGGAGTGGGGAAAGAAAGAGAGGTATTCTGATTCCCAGGTTTTTGGTTGCCTTTGTTTGTTTAAGCAGCTGGTGATGCCATTTATATGTATAAAGATTTCATGAGGATCAAAATAGACTGTTGGGAAGTCGTAAATCAACAAGTCTTCTTTTGCTTATTATGTCTGACATGCTGCATCAGACAGGTCACCAGCAAGAAAGAGGAGACTCACAGAGTAAGCTCAAGTTTAATGTTTACAGAGGTATGGGTGCCATTAAGGGAGCTAGCACAGCAGCCAGGGACTCCCAACAATTGGAAATCATCACTGCCCACTACCACTAGGTCTGAAAGGGGAGGGGAAGGAAAGCATTATTGGATGTAGTGTGCAAGTGGCCATGAGAAAGGATACAAGAGCTGTGGAATTTGGTAGAGAATAGGGCCACTGACATAATCACAGCTGAACAGGAGGTAGCAGAAGTGGCAGTTTATCCATTCTCTCTCTCTTTCTGCTCGTCCATATCCTACAGGTGCTTCTGTCTGGCGGAACCCAACCAGACCCAGAGGTCCTAAGAACCTAGGCAATGTAGTTAGTAGAGAGCCTGGCATAGGGCAGGGCAGAGCCATGTGGAGAATGAATCTGAGGGCAACAGGAAAAAACAGCGCCCATGTCCCCAAGAGCACTTTAAGAAGGCAAATAGACATTCAAAGTTGGAGCGCAGTAGAGAAGTAAGGGCAGAGATGTCAACTGGAAAATATTCAGCATTTCAATAGTATATGACAAATATTAAGAGCCAATATTTTTCAAGCCCTTACTCTGTGCTAGGCAACATACCAACATTTCCTGTGCATTATCATCTCAGTTAATTCTCCTAACGAAGCTATAGGTTAAATGCCATTATCTTATTGTACATATCAGGCAACTGAAGCCCAGTACAGTGAAGCAATTTGTTTAAGGTCACACAGCTATTAGGTGGCAGATTCAATAATTAAGTCAGCCATTTCTACCCCTAGGGCCAGTGATAGAAATCATTACTACACACAGCTTCTCTGTCTGAGAGCATCAGATGCTGGAGCAATGCATATTGGGTCACATGATTTTTTTTTTTTTTTTGGTAAATTCCTTTCTTTTTTATTTTTTCTCTTTTTGAAAGAAAACATTTCTGACAAGAATTCATCAAAGAAGAGATTCCAAATTTTAATGTCCCAGTTTGAGTATTGCTTTTGATTAAAGCTGTTTGCAGACTAGAATATTAGTAACCCTCCTATTCCCTGTACCACAAAAAGAGGAGATTCGTTTTCATCTTGGGAACAAAGCTGTGTAGAAAAGCTTTTTTAAGCTTTTTTAAGATTTTTTAATTCATGAAACATTTATCTTCGAGTCAGGTTTTGTTACAGTAGCACAAATGTGGTCCGTCAGCATTTTCTTTATAACCCCATATTTCCAGGGCTTTTCAAGAGTGCCATAGAGATTCTACTTTGAATTAAAACTTGGCATTCAGAATTTGAAAAAAAAAAACCTACTACATTTTTCCTTACCAATTAATCAAATAGTTTAGAGATTCTCAAGTTAGAAAAGGACCAAATGCAAAACTTTTATTAATACAAAAAATATTTTAAGACAATTTTGCTAATTTATATCTTTGAAAAATATTAGCACTCAGTATACAAGTATTAATATTACATCACTGTATATTAGCTCTCAAAATTAACCAAACTGTTACTAAGATAATATAAAAAACGATGACATCTTGTGCTTTGCCTTTTTGGCTTTGTGAGTAATTTATTTCTATTTTGGGAATTGGGATGATTTGACGTTCTTAGCATAACTGGTTTAAAGTTATAACAGCATCAAGATACTAAACCATAATAACAAGGGTGGTTGGAATACTGAGAGAATATCAAAGTGTTCCAATTTATTTTTGTGAAATTTAAATTTATGTGGGGAAATTTGACACTCTGTGAACAAAGATTCGTAGCATGAATTGATTCTTTAAATTGATATTTGGAAGTTAACTTGCTAAGTATAATGGCGATAATGAGGACAAAGTAGAGCTTAGTGATAAAGTCTTTCCAACTTTGCTTGGTTCAGAAATACTCCATGAATGGCCAATAACAGTGAGGGGCATCATGATGATCTATCTTTTATAGCTCATTTTGCAGTCTTTTCTGTAATCTCTCCCAGCCTTCAAAGATTTAAGTTTAAGTAAATACAAGGTAGTGAATGAGAGCAAAGACTTTTCAGTGAATCTACTCTTCTGACTGACTTCTCTCCAGCCACACTGGCTTCCTTGTTGTTCCAGAAATGTGTGAGGCAAACATCTACTTGGGGATGTTTGCTCTAGTTTTTCTTTCTACCTGGAACACTTTTCCTCCAGATGTCTGCTTGGCTAACTCCCTTACTATACTTTCATTCTTTATTCAAACCTCATCTTCTGAGTGAGGTCAAACTGGATAACTCTACTTGATAATGTGATTTCCCTTAGTTCCCAAATCCCAAAGTTCCTACTGTTACTAACCTTGCCTGACATTTTCTTTTCAGACTTACTATCTTCTAGTACATTTTATGCCTTTATAACAAAATGCCCATCTCCCCCACTAGAATATAAGGTCCGTGAGAATAAGGTTCTTTGTCTATTTGTTGACATATCCTAAGCACCTAGAATTGTGCTGACAAATATTAATTGCTCAAAAATATTTGTTGAATGAACAAATCGTTGAATGAAATCTGAATTTCCAAGCACATAGCAAGACTCTCCAAGCAATAATCCACCTATGACTTTCCCTTGTTCTCCTACAGAATTTGGGTTATTTCCCTACAAGAGTAAAGAACGCCCTTTGAACATTGGTGTTCAAAATGAAAGGCCCCACATTTAGATACTTAGATCCCTATTATAATGTGTTATAGGTCCATCTTTCATGGAAACATTTAAACTGAAGCTTGGATGTTTTTGTAACTAATTTTAATTTTAGCTATTATTTGGATAAGTTAAATTGAATGAATAGATGTGATGTTTGTTTTTCACAAAACAAATGCTTATTGTATATTTAAAAATGCCACTGTACATATTTTATAAATCTTTGTACATGTAATGATGTTAATGCTGAACTGTGAAAATTCAGGAGCTAAAATGTGATTCTATAATTTAAAAAGAAAAAGAGAGCCCCCACCGTCTACCCCCAGCAGCAGTAGATATGCTGTGCTGAAAACAACAGCTTTCTAATAAGGGATTTATTAATAGTCCTTGGCCTCAGGGCTTGAAAGCTATGCTAATTGAGAAATAAAGCCACTTAGTGAGAGTTTACTACCAGCTCAATGGAGTAAAAGCAACAACAGTAGAATTTCAGTGTAGATACCAGTACTATAGTGTGCTCCCCACTCTAGTTCTGTATGATTCTGAATAGTAGTTGATAGCAAAAGCTAATATTTTCTATGGTGAGAATGTATTAATTCTGGGGAGAGGGGCTAAAATTACTTTAAAACTTAAATAAAAGCATTTTTGAATTCCTTTTTACATTCCAAATGAAATTTATTTGACTTTATTTCTGCTTTGTCTTCCTAGGGTATATGTGAACAGTCACTTTATGGTCACATGCATTCTATCAATGATGCCATTTTTGATCCCAGGGTAAGTTCAGTTCTCCCAGTAAATTGTTTTTAATGCTTCATATATACAAATTCATTTTTATTAAACAAATTTTCAAGCTAAAATGGTAAGTTAATGGGGTGAGAAGAACAACTTTAGAAATTAGTTGTAAACAATAGGAAAAGTCCATAGATATACAGGGTTGCAGAATTTTAAAATTCACACACACACACCCCCCACCCCAAGTCACGGCAGGAGTGACAAGGAATTCTACTGTAGTCAACTTAACTCAAACACATTTTTAAGATCCTTTTGTCCAATTTGGGCTTCAAAAAAATAAGTGGGCTATAGACTGCATAAAATTTTAATGCAAAATCATTAAAATAACTATAATCGCTCTGTAATTTTTTTGTAAGAAAACCTGGAGAAGAAAAAGCAGTTAAACAAATTTTCTCCAATTTAGAACAGAACAATCTTGATTTGACAGCTTTTTAATTACTCATGAAAAAGTTTCAAATATGTCCTTCTTCATATAAACTGATGACAAAACAAAAATGTTTATCTGCCACTGGAGGTATTCATTCAGATGTAAGGATGATTTCACCAACAATGAAGAGTGTTGGAGAGTCCTTTGTGTTTTCTATGGTTTGAATGTATTCCTCCGAGTTTGTGTGTTGCAAACTTAATCCCCAGTGCAACAGTGTTTGGAGGTGGAGCCTTATAGGAGATGTTTAGGTCTTGAGGGTAGTGCCCTCCCCCCTGAATGGGTTGTCTTTTAAAGAAGTTGAAGCTGCAAGTTCTATCCTTTTGCTCTCTTGCTCTTTTGTCCTTTCACCCTCTGGTATGGGATGACACAGCACAAAGGTCCTCATAAAGTGGTGGTGCCATGCTCTGGGACTTCCCAGCCTCCAGAACTGTGAGAAATAAATTTATTTTCTTTAAAGTTATCCAGTTTGTGGTTTTCTGTCATAGCAATAGAAAACGGAGTAAGACAGTTGCCAAGTTAATTGAGGATGTGTTTAAAAGGGTTCAGATAGTAATTAAGGAAGGATGATTTAAGTCTATTCTCAGATGAAAGAGATTTGACTAAATAGATGACCTCTTAAGTTCATTTAAACTCTATGATTTAATTCTATCTAGCATTTTGGTTGTCTGGAAGTTCCCAGTAGAGTGAGAATCTTAATTCCAAATTCCACTTCTTTTCCAATTAGCTATAAAAGATATCTGATGGATTACTTACATCTAACTTCACAATGATAGCATAGTCAGAATTCTGTTACCATCATGCTAGTATCATTCTTTTAGAAAGAGGAAAAATGCTCACTAAAAATTATGTCTACTAAGGGAATGTTGATTGCTCCAATTGAAATTGTGATTGTGTCATTGTCAGGCTTGGGCATTTTAATGATGGGCTCAACCAAAATTACATTTTAATAGATTGGTTTTTGTAAGAAATATTCCATCTAATTTTCTGTAATGAGCCAATTAGTTGGAAAGTATTATAGATTAGTTCTAGATACCAAGGAATATTTTATTTCTAGCAGGGTATGGAAACATTTCAGTACTATGGACCCATTATGAAACAGAATATAGTTTTATGTTAGAAGTCCATTAAGTGGCTTATAGCTTCATATGCCCTACAAAAATTAAATGGGAACTGAAATGAATAATACTTTGTAAATCAGGCATTTTGTTTTGGCACGCAATATTATAACTGCAAAAGACACAGCATTTTACATTCTAAATATTAAACTTAATAAATATGGAAATAAGCAAATTAGATGTATTGAATCACCAATAAAGAGAGACATACATTAATTACCCATATTTCAAAGGGCGAGATAACAGATATGAGATTTAGGTGTCCAATGTCAAAGTAGCTAATATTTTCTTTTATTATTATACTTCAAGGTCTAGGGTACATGTGCACAATGTGCAGGTTTGTCACATAGGTAAACATGTGCCATGTTGGTTTCCTGCATCCATCAGCTTGTCATTTACATTAGGTATTTCTCCTAATGCTATCCCTCCCCCATACCCCCACCCCCTGGCAGGCCCCAGTGTGTGATGTTCCCTGCCCTGTGTCCAAGTTGTTCATCTCCCACCTATGAGTGAGAACATGCAGTGTTTGATTTTCTGTCCTTGTGATAGTTTGCTCAGAATGATGGTTTCTAGCTTCATCCACGTCCCTGCAAAGGACATGAACTCATCCTATTTTATGGTTACATAGTATTCCATGGTGTATATGTGCCACATTTTCTTAATCCGGTCTATTATTGATGGACATTTGGGTTGGTTCCAAGTTTTTGCTATTGTGAATAGTGCTGCAATTAACATATGTGTACATACGTCTTTATAGTAGCATGATTTATAATACTTTAGGTATATACGCAGTAATGGAATTGCTGGGTTAAATGTTATTTCTAGTTCTAGATCCTTGAGGAATTGCCACACTGTTATCCCAAATGGTTGAACTAATTTACACTCTGACCAACGGTGTAAAAGTGTTCCTATTTCTCCACATCCTCTCCAGCATCTATTGTTTCCTTTTTAATGATTGTCATTCTAACTGGCATGAGATGGTATCTCATTGTGGTTTTGATTTACCGCGCCACCCCCCAGCCCCATCCTTGCCAAGTTGTTGATGAGGTTGTGCTTGATTTTTCTTGCTAATTTGGTTTCTCTTGTAGATTCCTGGATATTACCCTTTGTCAGAATGAGTAGATTTGTAAAATTCTTCCCATTCCTGTAGGTGTTGCCTGTTCACGTCCTGATGGTAAGTTTCTTGTTGCTGTGCAGAAGCTCTTCTAGTTTAATATAGATCCCATTTGTCCTATTTGGGCTTTTGGTTGCCATTGCTTTTAGTGTTTTAGTCATGAAGCGCTGCCCATGCCTATGTCCCTGAATGGTACTCCTAGGTTTTCCTCTAGGGTTTTTTATGGTTTTAGGTCTAACCATTTGAGTCCTTTATTCCATCTTGAATTAATTTTGTAATAGGTGTGAGGAAGGGACCCAGTTCAGGTTTCATCATACAGCTGCCAGTTTCCAACACCATTTATTAAATAGGGACTCCTTTTCCCCATTTCTTATTTTTTTGTCAGATTTGTCAAAGATCAGAGGTTGTAGAAGTGTGTTTGTTATTTAGAGGCCTCATGTTCTGTTTCACTGGCTATGTCCCTGTTTTGGGTACAGTAACCCATGCCCTGTTTGGTTTACCTGGTAAGCCTTGTAGGTATGTTGAAGTCGGGTAGCTGTGATCCCTCCAGCCATTTGGTTCTTTTTGTTTAGGCATTGTCACTTGGCAATGCAGGCTCTTTTTGGTTCCTCGAACTTTAAAGTAAGTTCGTTTCCAATTCTGTAAAGATCATTGGTACCCTCGATGGGGATGCCATTGAATCCCCATAAATCCCTGGGCCAGTATGGTCCATTTTCACAATATTGATTCTTCCAATCCATCGAGCCATGAAAATGTTCTTTCCATTTTTTGTGTCCTTTTAAATTTCAATTGAGCAGCCGGTTTGTAGTTCTCCTTGAAGAGGCGTCCTCACAATCCCCCTGGTACAGTTTGGATTCCTAAGGATTTTACTATCTTTATAACTATTGTGAGAATGGAAGTTTACTCATGATTTGACTATGTCCGTTTATTGGTGTATAGATGGCCTTGTGGATCTTTTCTGCACATGATTGTATCCTGAGACTTTGCTGAAGTTGCTTATCAGCTTACAGAGAAGTTT